ATTTCTGTTTATACAACTAGCATTAACGTTCGGTATCCACTTCCATTGTCGTTTAAAAAAAAACAAAGGATACGATTATTAAATTAGATTGTATTGATCTAATCGACTCTAATCAAAAAAATTAGAAAAAAAAATTGTGAAGGTTCTCTTTCACAAGGTAGTATTAGGTTTTATAAAAAAAGTTCTCGGTGTTTCGGATCTCGTGGCGCAATATAGTGTCTTCAAATACTCTTTAAAAAAATTAGGGTTCATGATTCCATACAAAACAGGGTTAATGGCACTACTTGTAGCTGCAAAAAAACTATAAGCAACATAGGCTTGTCTTGGAAGAGACCATCTTCGTCTGATCACATCAAAAAAATCCATTGCAAAAACAGGCATCCAACACATGATAAACATGACGACGATCAAGAAAAAAAAATTTGTGATGTTTATTTCTTGGACGCTAAGKCCCTGCGAATAATCTTCTCGGTTAAAAAAAATAGACTGGTTGTGCCTTCTTATGACCAAATACACTTGATAATAACAGCACGCTATGATTAAGCAGGGCAGAGCAATGTAAAATGTCACTACTAACGTCAAGAAAAGATGATCATCGATATTCAAGTAGCAAAAGTACTTTCCTGGATGGAAAATGTATTTRTGTCCCGTTGGAAAAAAAAAAAACGAACCAATTAASGAAAYRACCCAWACARAAACTATATACCAGACAGTAAAAAAAGTGGTAAAATGAAATCGGTATTTTGTGGTCTTGACTACTCTGAAATACCGATTAAGCGCCATGAGGGTTAGGTTCAACACCGAGGCACAAGYAAAAGTAAGTGCTGCGAGCCCAAAAAAATGGCACGCAWCGGYRCTGTGTCGCCATCTGGAATGCACCATTACATCYAAACAAAAAAAACTACATAAGAGAGCCAGGCAAAAATCAGCACATGCCAAAGAAGCGATCAAAAAATTTGAAGGCGTTCTAAGATGGGCATTACAAAAAATGATTTTTAGGGTYAAGCCATTTCCAAAAAAAGTCATCAGTTCTAGTATYAACCACATKGTAAATTCCAGCCAGGATACGAMAGGAAAAAAAGACTGTAAATCATTTAGAAGGCGATTGTAATCKTTCGTCCAKGCYGCTTGGAGAAAAAAATTAATCATTGTCAGCGAAAGATGGTCAAACGCGGAGAAAACGTTTTGAAAGAGAAAGGTTATTACACCGTACAGTGTTAATGCTGTATTTGCTTTTGATTGACAGGATGTTCAAAAAAAAAAAAGTAAATTTCATTTCCTCGTGTTGCGGCAATTGAAACTGCCATAAACTTAAAAAAAACGGATAATAATGAAATGAAACGAAGGATATAAACCCGAAACGCAATAAAACAGAAAAAAAAAACAGCTCGGCAATTCATTTCTTCAAATATGCCGAAAGGAGTTCATTTTAAAAAAAAAAATCGCGCGCATTCAACTTTATGATCATTAAAGAGATTGACGAATCGTATTCATAAAAAAAAGAAAAGTTTTAAAAAAGACGTTCATCGTGACAGTATCCTTCTTGAAAACAGTTTTATTATTGTAATCTCTTTGGTTTTTATTTTCAGAACGATATTCTCAAAGATAACGAGAAAACACCTTTCCGATTGTTTGCATGCGCTGTATAAATAAGCGTCGAAGATGTCACTTTGCAAAAAAACTATCCAGTTTCAAAAGAATATGACTTTTATTGTCTGTATTACTGTAGTAACAAAAAAAAAAATGAAATGTTTAACTATAGCAGAAAAAAAAGTGTCATCTTTACATTAAACAAAAAAAGTGTGGCTACCTTTTTGTCATATTTGCTTTTTCCTGTACTGGTCAATTAACTAAAAAAAACTCAAGGAAAGAGATTACGAAAGAATAAGACGAACATTTACCCATTAAAAACGAAAAAAATAAATATTTCTTTATATTTCTTTATTTATTATGTTTCTTTGTATCGTTTTACCAAAAAAAGCGCATGATTTCAAATATTCAAAAATCTTAACACATTTCAGAGAATGTCTTTAAAAAAAAAATTTCGAATTCAGTGTTATTACTGGTGACGATTTGCCAACGTTGTTATGGTAAAAAAAATTCTGATTTCAGCTGGGACTTGTTTACCTARCGAGACATAAACTGCACATGCGAAAAAAAGTTTGTGTTTATAATTCAAGATATGGAAGACTTGACTACAAAATCTCTCGGTCAAAAAAAGTCAACAATAAGTCCTAGAACAGTTATCATTCATCAACTGTCAATTTAAAATAAAAAAAAACAAATATGGCTGCCATTCAAATATGTTATGTTTTTCAATGCTTTTAATTCCCAAAAAAACATAAGCAAGTAGTAGGTCTGAGCTGAACAAGTGTAATTTGTTACCCAAATCAAAAAAAAAATTTTTATTGCCATGAAAACTAACAAAAATAAAAAACCTTATCTCGACATTAAAAAAACCCCCTCCCAACACCTTAAATAGCTAATATAAGTGGCAGCATTTGTGACTTCAAAAAAAATTTATCTAGAAGTTCATCTAACTACACAAACAATCTTTAAAGTCCTCTTGGGAAAAAAAACCTAATCCCTAACCCCTACAAATCACTTTGGTCTATGCATGCATCTAACTACAAAAAAAAATTGCCTTATTTCATTTTGACGTCACATCTAAACATTCTATTGTTTTAACGCTAAGGATTATGGTCGCTATAGGGGATCATAGGACTGCATATAAAATAAAAAATGTACATAAAAAAAAATGACATATATCAAAATACGATACATTGAAGTTCTACTTTTGGAGAGAATATAAAAAAAAACAAATTTCTCTGTTTTTATTATCTTTCCCTGATGTTAACATACTATGACGTCATAAACATATGACGTCATAACGAAATAAGGTCCTGTCAAGTTCATACATAAGTTATTCACTAAAAAAAATAACAAGAAAAGCTCCCATAAGTAGGGCAAAGGATGACATTATATGCCAAATATCGTGGTAGTCGTAGAACTTCAAAAACGCGCACTCTTTRTTGAGGTTGCGTGAGTTTTGAAAAAAATCAGTTTTATCTGATGTTGGTATTCCATCGAAGATGTACACAGCRATRATCATAAAAAAAAACGCTGCTAAAACATATGCCATCTGTACKGCTTTGAAGAGAGCTTTCTTACAAAAAAAATAGCATACYGGTGGGGTTTTGAACGAGTTGAGGATAATCTTKCCAATGGTACTAAAAAAAGCCACGGCAATGCATGAAAAAAGGAACAGGTTTGAGAAGTCGKTGCTGAAYAGAAAAAAAAAAACAATGCAGGTGATGATCACGGTGAGGCAAAACAACAAAAGTTTAACCTTACTTGCACAATTGTGAAATCCATGTCTGATATTAAAGTAAAAGAGCTTGAATCCTGACAAGCTAAACATTCCTAAATACCAGCAAACTATTAAAACCAGGAAAATAGCGTTCACAGCTCTAAAAAAACGGTCTTTAGTGATGAATACAGATCCAAGATAGTTCAAGATGTAAAGAGGTACGATTATAAACAAGTAAAAGGTAGTGTCTTTTATAGGTTTGGGTAGATCATGTTCATCACAAAAAAAAACAGCCAGGCCATTAAAAAGCGACACGACGATTAGTCCAGCAATAACAAACATAAAAAAAGTGTCAAACTGAAAGCTCAATCGAGAGGGACAAAGATGATATGTAAGTGAAAACAATCCTTCAAAAATGAGGGCCCAAGCGAAGGCATAACCGACWGCGAAACTGTACTTTCTAAAAAAAGCTTTAGCATAMAGTTCAATCAAGCGATGTTCAGAGTTAAATGGTGGCACCTTGAGCTCCGGAAGGTGATGACCAATGCTAGTGCACTCTAGTACATGYTTCGGCAGTGCCTCAAAAAAAGCACTCGTTTCACGGGGATCGTCGTTTCTTCCACGATCAAGGCATGCCTTCTTAAAAAAATGGACATAAAGCTCAGCCTCCATTACCCAAACTGCTATMGCAAGAATTACTCCAAAAAAAATATAGGCCATGTTACTGATCATCAAATTAAAAGGGATGTCACTGTAAGGACTAAAAAAATAGCAMAGATCRTCGTAAAAGCACCTATCTCTATCGCCTTCYTCCACCATGATAAAAAAACTTTCGTAGACGTATTGAAAAGCGCCAACAAARAGTACAAAACCGACWACACAAAAAAAATATGAGAAATCTCTTGACCCGTGTCCAGTCCAGTGATATTTGACGACCTTCAAAAAAAAACATAATATCTCCTTGGTAGTACATGATAGTGATATATGAGGCTGTCTTATAAGAAAAAAAAGTTCATTTGGTTYGCGTCCTGACCAACATGCGATAGAACTTGCTTTACTTATAGTCGACGAACCAGCCGATGTATCCAGAGAAGTGGACTCCRATGTRCCACGCCCTAGGTCAAAAAAATCTCTAAAGCAGTAAAGGGCCMACAGGGCTACTAGTATTCCACCAGCCAATGGAAAAAAAACTATGAAGCAAAGAGGTGCAGTGTARTTGTAGTCGAAAGAGTTCGTGATTTCAAAAAAAAAACTCTTGTTAATAAAATYATCWTKTAGTCCAAGTACGCCAATAAACAGAGGAAAAAAAACAYTGAGGCGTGGCTGAGATACTTTGGAAATTGTTATTCTYCCYTGCTTGGAAAAAAAAAATGATATTGCTGGTTTTTCTTTGTTAATGACTCCAAGTTTCTCTACTTGGTCAAAAAAAGTGGAAACCCTTAGYACGGCCTGACTATCTTCCTTTGATTTCACTGTCACGTCGAGTTGTGCGTCTGGATTGGCTTTTAATGTAGAGAAAAAGAAAAGTCTTGGTCCGACGAAAAAAAAAYTTTTATTCAGGCTTAGATGGTGGCTTGCGAACTGGATTGAGACTGCGTAGCGAAAAAAAGGTGTACCTGAGATGATGGCAACGTATTTTTCATGGCTGTAAACAGTGTCATTTAAACAAATATTGGTTTCATGCGACGACGATGTGTCATCTTTGATTTCCAGACTTCCAATGTTATATTGCAGCTTGGAGTCATATACCATCACACGTAACGATCCTATAATAAAATGTTATCACAATAAATGCACACAAACTACTATATAATATTGCTATGCACACTAAGTATAAGGGACAAAAAAAGAAAGACGACTCAAGAAAAAATATTGTTCAAGAGGTCCAAATCCCCTTGGCTAAAAAAAACCCAAAATATTGTTACTCATTTCTTATTCTCATTTCCAATTCCCTTAGTAACAAAAAAAATACTCAGTTTTTTTTTCTTTTTTGCTCCCGTGACTTCCTTGTTGCATATTGCCCCCCATTTATTCCGGAAACACATCTGTCGAATTATAATTAAGATTCCTCTTCCTCGACTTAAAAAAAAAATGCGACAAAGGAAATCCAAATGTTGGCTTCTAAAAAGCCTACCCGAAAACCTAAAAAGAAATTTTACGCAATAAAAACTGCGTCTAAGCATTCCATATACCCTCTAATAAAAAAAAAGATGTTTTCATATACTTTAGTCACATGCATATCCATGTCGTTTCTATGCTAAGAAAAAAACCAAAGACCGAACATAAACCAAGTATACTTACTGTAATTTGTAGTRTTTCCGTAAAAAAATATCTTGAGCTTGATAGATAGAAACTGCGACGATGTCCTTTCAGTTGTGAACTGACAAACCACAGATTGTCCAAGCTGCTTTGGAAGCATTCCGGTTACGATGAGTCCGTTTGAAAAAAATTGAATTTGCTGCCCACTATTGACACAATAAGGAACCATGGTGTCACATTGAAAAAAAAAAGACGTGARAGCCATTAMCATCACGAACACTGTAGTGAGATACATTGTTGTAAACTGTATCTTCCAAAGGCAACTTAGCAAGTTTTTCCCTTTCGAACTTCAAGGAAATGAAGAAAAAAATACGTTTCAAAGGCACTACAGACGCAGAAACGTGATCGGGTTTCACTTCAAAAAAAAAACGATCTTAATTTAGATCAGCTACATGCAATGTCCTCGAAAGAAATCGTTAAAAAAAAAAGTATCAATATCTTCAAATGTTTTACCTTTCTTTAGTCTTAAATAAAATCGGAAAAAAAAAGAAATTAATTAATATTGGCGCATTAAGGCTTTGCTAGAGTCGTTTAAAAGTTTAAAAAAATCCTGTGGTGATCAAATTGTTGCGTGACYAARGTATTTGTCTAGTTAGTCAAAAAAAAAAATGGTGTATTTTTGGTTCGTTGCATTCCTTTGTTTTGAGGGTCTTCACTAACTAAAAAAAAGTAGTATCAGTTAAATAAAGCATAAGATTGAMTTCTGCTATGGTATATTATAAAAAAAACTAAGCTAAATAGTTATGAGAATAGCAAAATTTTATTGTTTGTTTAATTGAGTAAAAAAAAGCATATTAAAACTAAACCTCGCCATTATTGCAAGAAATAAATAAAAAATAAAAAAAAAAAGTCTTTAGTATATAGTTATTATCAATTGCAATATTACAACTTTAATTCATAAAAAAAAATTGGAATAAAATATAGCCTGCTGTTGTTGACATCAGAAATGACAT